CCTACCTTGAATTCGAATAGTTGATTCGGGAAAGAAAAGAATAGTTGACCTGACTTGAAACTGGCATGGTTACTGATATCATCACTCATAACAAACGCAAAGTTAAACATGTGACCGCCCCACTCTTAGGCGATGGCGCGACCCTGCTTTCCCTCTCCCATGCGACCCCGCTCTCCCTCTCCCTCTCCCTCTTCCATGCGCCCACGCCCACGCCTCGCCGGAGTTAGGGTTAGGGAGTTCCTGACGGCTCTAGAAGGGAGATCAGGGGAGACGGCCTCGACACGGCGTTGGTGGCGGGTTGAACGACGGCCTCGACACTGAACCAACAATTTTAGAATCTGAAAACAAAAAGATGAACATAGGAAACTAATCAATGCCTTTTTGCTTGCCGCATTTTTAAATTGACACATAAAAAACATGACTGAATCATCACCTTTTCTTGCTGCTGCTACCCAATCTTTGGTGCAAATCAATGCCTCTACCTTCTAGGGATCAAGTTGACTACGGTAAGGATCAACAACACGACCAGCAGCACTAAAAAGCGGACTCGGATCAAGGTCGTCATCTATATTTCCCATTAATACATCTACTGTATCACTAGGTCCAGCTGCTGCACTACTATTTGATTATTGAGGAGCAGAAGTAGCATGAAATTGATACAACTTCTTTATCACACTAACAAACTCATCAAGTTCAACTTGGTACCCATCACCACGGAACTTCCTCATATAGTATTCTATAAGTTTTTTCTTATACCTAGGATCAAGAAAACATGCTACAGCTAGGACAATGCCAGACTGTTCCCAATATTTCTCAACTCTTTCATTCATGGCTATTGCCATGCAACTCATGCTCAACTATATTGAACTCTGAAATAGTGGGCACGAACCACCTTGCTTGTCACCTTCAGCCAATCCATCGAACGGTTGGCGGGCGTGGCCAACCACCTAAGTGCCCACGCAGCTAATGGGCCTCACAGTGAGGGCAGCACGGAAGCAGCACGCAGTCGCGACGCCGTGGTAGGCATTCGGCGGCGGCGGATTCGATCATTCGAACGCCGAGGCGGCCGGCATCTGCAGGTGGTGCTGGGTGGAGCAGCGGTCGGGTTGCAGCTCGAGTAGCAGTTCACCGCTACGAGTCTCACGACGGATCTGGTGGCGGCGAAGCGGCGGAGCGGCGCTATGCGGGGGCCAACAGCTGCGAGAGGTAGAAGCGCACACCTGCGGCAGCTTAGAACATAGTCGTAAACAGGCTGAGCACCGCATGTCGCCGGGCGCCGTGACAACGTCGTTTCGGTGGCTTTCTGTGGAAGCCAATTAGCCAACGCCTGACGTTCACGGAATGACGTATATACTAACGGCGTACACGGGATGAAGATGGAAACGGTTGAAGCTTTGCTTTAAGATTGTCATATATATACCACGTCATGAAAGGAGGGAGGTCTCTCAAGATGAAAGAAAGGGCAGGCTCGTTCGCTTCACTAAAAAAAAATAAGTCGAAACATTGTTTCGACTGATTTAATATAAGAAAAAAATATTGTTTCGACTAAAAAAATAAATTGAAAAAAACGAATTTAAGAGAAACGAACAGACCATACACACCGGCAGCGGCATCTCTTTCGTTGTCCTGGCTTTTAATTGCAGTCGAGACATCAAGATCAAGCAACTAACCAATTTTAATGTACTCCGTCCTAGGATAATGTTGCTAGGATTGTGACCAAGACCAATCAAAATATGGTGAAAAGAAATTAATTGCTGGCTCAGATGATGCTCACGACTCAGCCAATCCGTTTGGACTTTGAAAATGCGCTACCGTGCACAACAGTTGTTTAGCTTCGAGGAACCATCACGGTGCTGTCTATTCTGTTCTGTCTATGCTGTTCGGCTGGTGTTAAAGTCGGCTGATAAGTTGGCTAAGGCTGTTTTGTTGTGAGAGAAAAAAATTGTACATTTTAGCTGATAAGCCGGCTGATAAGTTTAAGCGAACATGCCGTTTTCGTGGCAGTTTCTCAGCCCGATATTTTCTTGTAGCTTTACACAAGCACTTCAGATCGCAGTTGACTTTGAATAAGAAATACTACTACCTTGAATTTGAATAGTTGATTCGGGAAAGAAAAGAATAGTTGACCTGACTTGAAACTGGCATGGTTACTGATATCATCACTCATAACAAACGCAAAGTTAAACATGTGACCGCCCCGCTCTTAGGCGATGGCGCGACCCTGCTTTCCCTCTCCCATGCGACCCCGCTCTCCCTCTCCCTCTCCCTCTTCCATGCGCCCACGCCCACGCCCACGCCTCGCCGGAGTTAGGGTTAGGGAGTTCCTGACGGCTCTAGAAGGGAGTTCAGGGGAGACGGCCTCGACACGGCGTTGGTGGCGGGTTGAAGGACGGCGAGCGAGGCGGCGGCGCCGCCGAGCGGGCAGTGGGGGACAACTGGTTGGGCGGGGTTGGCAGCGGGGTAGTCGCGGCGGTGGTGGTCGGTGAGCTGTTGAGGTTAGGGTGGGCGGGTTCGAGGGGCGGGGGCGGGTTGTGGATGGCGCAGCGAGCTTCCGTGGGGTTAGGGGAGGGCGGGGCGGAGCGGCGGGGATGGGAGGTGGGTGGTGCAGCCAGCGTCGTGTCTGCTGCTGGCCGGGGCGACGAGGTCGGGGAGGAAGGGCGCGTCAGGGAGGAAAAAGGGCATGTGTGGCATGGGGAGGAAGAAGGAGCGCGTGATCGGACACGTCCAATAACAAATATTCACACAGCCAGTGCAACCCCTGATGCTCCGCCGAGGCGTCGACATAACGTGCGGATTGCGGACGACGCATCCGCGATTCTAGATTACAGAAGTTTTTGTTTCAGTCGTCACTCACTGGCCATGGGAGCCACCAGCCCGGCGGTCTTCTGGCTGGGGGTCTTGGGACACGGTGCATGAACGCAGAGCCATGAATGCTATGACTACAATCCTTTTGTTAATGCTAAACCCGCTCAACACGCTAGCAAGGCTAGATCGACCGGATCACACCTGATCGAGATATTCAGTAGAGATAGATCTTAGTGACAAGGCTAGATCGATGCTAGTTATTGGTCCAAAAGATCCACGAATAATAGGGGCTGTTTTAGAGCAGCAAGGCCACCACACTGGCACATCTCATTGAGCGACATGCCGGAGAACAAGGGGATTAGAAGAGTTTGAGGTGAAAAAAAAAGATTAAAAAAAAGGATAATAGACTTGCTTTTAATCAATTGGATTGGATAGATGGATTTCACAATTGGTTGTGATCATATCATATAAATAGAGATAGTTTTTTATCCCAGTAGAAAACATATTCAACACACAATCTACAAGTGTTCTCGCAAGATCGAAAGAGTTTCCGACTAGGAAATTCAATTTAGTCTCGGACCGCCAAAATCAGCTTGGAACCGGCCAGGCCGGTTCTTAAAGCCACCACCACAGTGTTGTCCAAAACGGCCTGGGCCAGTTTTTTCAGGAGGTTTGCAAATTTGGCCAAATTTAATCTTTTTAGATGCATTTAATTTTCTAATTTCATCTTCAACTCTCCTAACCATATTTTTGTCTATTATCATATACCCCCTGTTTCTAAGCGAAGCATATATTGGAGTTTAAGCACACAACACAACCACAACAACAACATCGAATTCATCGGCTATTTTTACTCTAAGGGCGATATATACGGGGAGGGGAAAAAACTCCCTCGTCTGTCCCACGTCCAAAGCACAGATCTGTGGCCGGCTCATCTCACGGAGCTACGGCGCCGCTGTCTAAGAGTGGGGCAGTGGTTCAGGAGTTTTCTCAATCTGTGTGAGAAGATCTCTTCTTAAACCAAAATACCCGGCTGCTGTCTAGCCACCGTGGATCGAGTTTTTTTATGAGCGATATGTCTATATTGTTCGTTATTCAAGCAGCTGTAGACTTCTTGCCAGATTTTCTTACCACGAGCACACAAAGGGCACCACCTTGGTTGCAAGAGGCTCCTCTCGGCATCATCATCATTTGCAGCAATTCCTATCTCCACTTTTTACATAATGGATCTAGCCAGATTTTCAATGAAAATCGGCCAATCAATTTTATTGACCGGCACCTCCATGGAGCTGATTGTAACAGATGTTTGTTTTATGGCATCCATAGGAGCAAAAGGAACCTTCTTTTTTTCTTAGGCACATAAATTTGCTTCAACGGTGACCAAACCTTTTTTTATGAGCTGAGATGCACCGAATCATCTCTTTGCTTGGTGTACCTATTCATAAGTCGGTCAAAAGCTAATTTTGATTGCACCTCTTTACTGATAATCTTGATTTTATTAGCCTTCCAAGTTCCAATCTTCGGATGCTTTAGTTCATATGAATTTGCAAAGGAGGGAAGAAGCACAATAGCGACACATTTCTTGATGTAGACTTCTAGAGGGGGAACATCTGCAGTTCGTCATCAGGACGGAAGCAAAATTAATTGGTTACTTTCAATTATGTAAATCAATCAAAAGTTCAAACTGCACTCTAAGGCAGGGCAATTCTCATTGATATAGAAACTTTTGTATCACAAACAATAGTATCTCCAAAATTATAACCCCTGATGTAAAATATATCTCTTCTCTCCAACCTCATCGCGTATGAGACAAATGTATGCATTCGATTAGGGATCGTATTTTATGATTACGATTCTACCTTTTTGATTCTGTCGAAACTTCAGCAAATAGCGGTGGTAGCGACTAGCGAGAAGACGATCGTCGTCTTGGCAGTGAGCAGTGGCGCCAGCAGCAGATAGAGAAGTACATCAGCGTTGCAGCGAGTAAAGGCCACCGGAGCAGACTTGAGGAAGGCAGGGAAGCCAGGAGAAGAACCAGATACCGCTCGGTCTGTGCAGTGGTGGACTTGACAACCAAAACAGGAAAGACTAATCACGATTAGAAGGCGCTTAGTCGTTCAAGCTGATCGACTAGCCATCAAATCAAGTCGAGGCAGCATGTTGGACTTGGACCCTACGTAGTACTGACTGGACGACTAATCCACGACGTCCATTAATCGACCACATGTAATTAAACAATAAGAACCGAGGCTGCCGAGCCCTAGGAACCTTGCCCCGACATCACGGAAGGATGACGCAAGTGCAGCGGCCTCGGCGAGATAGAGATCATCCATCCCACCGCCGAAGATAGCAGGCAAGAACAGCCAGCACGCTGTGGTCACCACGAACGCCACGACCAACGGCGTCGCCACCACACGCGGTGGCCTCGCGCTCCACCTACAAGCGCACCACCGCTCGGCGCACATAGACGCGCCGTGCAGAACGAAGAACGCCGTGACCTGCCCCGTTGGAGCCCGGAACGTGAGGTAGTATGCCATCACCTCGTGCATAAGGCCTGACACGAGGAAGGTGGCTAGCACGCCAGCGGGGACGCCGAGGCGTGCACGGACGGGGTTGTAGACAGATGGCCGGAGCACTGCTGACACCATGAGGTTCCACCGCCGGCCCCAAAAGTCTTCAAGCGAGGCCGAGAGGTATGGCTTGTTGAACTGCGGCTCCAGCTCCATGCCTAGTGCCCTCCCCGTCGCGGCGAGGCACGGCAGCACGGAATCGAGGATGCAATAGGTGATGACGCCGAAGAGGACGAAAGCGGCATAAGGGTGTGTCCGTTCCTTAGAGTGGTGGAGGTGGTGGACAATCACCGCCGTGATAGCGAACTTGATACTAGAAGATAGGAGGACCGTCTTCGTCTTTATGACATCAGCATCCTTGGAGATCTGCCGGAGTTTGACTGGAAGCGCGGCAGTGAACACAAATGGGAGAGGACGGATGTGAGGGTCAAGCGGGCCGTGGCCGAAGGCAAGGAGGAGGAGCTTGAACTCGCCGAGCCAGACAAGGAAGAAGGCAACGAGTCCCCGGACGCCGTACAGCGGAATGAGGAAGGGGAGCACGAGAAGAAGGGCAAGCACCGGGATGAGCGCAAAGAGGCGGCAAAGGCCAGGGCGGGTGGAGAAAGCAGCGAAGCGCGCGTAAAGCATGGCGGCGGTGACCGCCAAGGGGACTGTGGCGACGGAGTGGTGCATGGCGTCGCGAAAGGCCTTTGCGCGCGTGCACTGTGGCCTGTGGGCTGTCACTACGGGTTGGAGGCTTGGAGCTCTCGGGGGGCACAGGGCTTGATATATATACACCAGAATCTGTGCGTTGTCGTGCCATTTAAGTTGCAGTGGATTGTGACTTTGTGACCAAGACCAATCGAAATAAGGTCAATAGAATGTTCGCCTCCTTTGGTTCAACGGCGATGGCCAACGCCGCCCCTCTGGAAAACCAGAGCTCGGTCATTGGATGATGGCATGATGCTCACCACTCAGCCAATCCGTTTGGACTTTGAAATGCGCTTTCGTGCACAACAGTTTGTTAGGTTCGAGGAACCATCACGGTGCTTTAGTTTCGTTTTCCTGTCATTTTCAGCCTGATATTTTCTTGTAGATTTACACAACGACTTCAGATCCATGTTGACTTCAAATAAGAAATACTCCTCCCTCCCAAAATATATGTTATCCTCAAACACTTTTAACTTTAACCAAATATATATTTAAAAATATTAATATTTATAATACATAAATAATATTATTAGATAGATCGTTGATTATACTTTCATAATAAACTTATTTATAGATATAAATATTGCAACGTATTTTCTACTGAATCTAGTTAAAGTTGAAAAGTTTAACCTCACACACGTCCCATAATAACTTCTATTTTTTATGAGAGAGGAGTACCTTTGATTCGCACATAAAAAGTAAAGAATATTGACCTGACTCGAAACTCGCATGGTCACTAAGGGCAGTCCCAATGAAAGAAACTAGTAGTTTCTATAACATAGGATGCCGCACAAAAAAAATTACTGATTTTCAACCCATGGTTTCTATGAGTAATAATTATTTTCTCTTTCTCTCTCCCAACTCTATCTTCTTCCTTCAATGGAAGTGCGGCACGAGCCCTCTAGAAACTGGTGGTTTCTCCCCAATGGCGATTTCATGGTTTTTTTGTGCATTGAGTCAAGAGAAGACCTGGTTTCTTCATGAGGAAACCATTTCTATGATTTTTGCTCTCTTTCTTCATTAACTACGTTGTCATGTCAATATTTTGTCTATGTGGCAAGTCATTTAATGAGGATAGAAACCATCATCAATACACCATTGAGGCGCCCTAATATCATCGATGGGGCTCGAGTTCCAAAGGAATAAGAATAATACTCCGGTAGTCATAAAAGCATCTCTAGAGTTGAAAAAAAACAATTTATCTCTAAGAGTTTTAAAAACAATTAGTAAATCAATGAGTTTTCCAACTGACTAAGAAAAGTTGGGATCACATTTGTTAGTCTCAAACTATTTTTAAAATCTCGCTCCTAAAAATTAAAATACAATTTTGCATTAGAAGTAATAGAGACTATTTTTGAATCACCCTAACCATTTTTATATTTGATTTTTCTATTGTACATTTGTATTGGAAACCCCGTCCATACTCTATATTCTTCCCACGTCCTTCCACTTCTAGATTGGACAATCAATACATGTGTTATATTTTCGCATGGATTGGATCAATTTTCTCAAGTGTGGAAAGATTGGGAGTTAAAATAAGGAGTGGGTTTTGAAAACTCTTGGAGATGCTCTAGGACGTGTTTGGAACCACTTAAAATCATGTTCTAGATGAAAATCAGCTCGTCACCCGCCCCTCTGCTCCTCATTCGCTTCCCGCTACCATCGCTGCGCTAGGCTCGGCCGGCGGCAACCCGCCTCCCCCCACCGCTATTGCGCTAGCCTCGGTCATCGGTCGAAGGGTCCCCTGCTCTCTGCTCCCTCAATGCGCCCACTCAAAAAAAGGCGAGTTCAAAGCGGAATCTATCGACGATGGGGAGATTCTTTGAGGAAGGAAGGAGATGGGCGAGGAAGGACAAGGCAATATAGGCGTTGGCCTCAGTGGCATGGGAGTCTCAAATGGTTGAGAGATGACCAAGAAAGCCAAGGGCAACGCAGTGATCTAAAGAAGAATGACATATATGGCCTTTTACACTCCAGATAACCATAATAATCGTGGATTGCTAAACATTCCTTATTCTTTATGCCAAAGATTTTTAGGCGTGGCTTATAAGAAAATCATTGTCGTGGGTTTGTAGCCATTTGGCTAGTGATTAGTGGAGCGATTGTTGGGTCGATGTGTGGGACTTCAATGGTTAACACTCAAGACACAAATGGTTTATCCTAGTTTGGTCCTCAAAGCCCTAAGTCCATCAAGCTAGTTCTTCATGTTAGAGTGCTCAAGCGAGTTCTTCCAATGAAAGAGACAAAGATGGTAGACGAGCCTTGAGCTAGTTCTCGATCTAGGATTTTTGGGATTCGGTCCCCTCTAAGGGAGCCCCCTTGACCTTATATCTCAAAGGGCAAGGGGAGTACAAGGCGTATTGTTTCATGGCTTCCTTGGCTCTCAAGGAAGCTCTAGGGTTTTGCACGTCTAGTCTTGGAGTCGTTGGAGGCGTCCAACGTTCCATCCTTCATGGTTGTGGCCGACAGCCCTGGAAATGTTCCTAACATCACCTTTAGAGGCCTCGAACTAGTCATTAGAGCCTAGAGTTGCTCTTGTGTCTCTCACAGGTCCTTCCTTCCCTTAGCATCCATCATATGCCAAGGAGAGAGAAGTTTTCAAAAGAGAAACTAACATGGGTCCCATGGCTTCCTCAACATAGAGAGGTCACGTGTTCTCGCTGCCATGTTGTTTCATGCCTCGCGTGACCCTATGCCGGGAATAGCCAACAAGGCCTCACAAGGGGTGAGGGATAGAGCTTTGCCAGGCCATGGGCACCCATCATAGCATACCAAAAGATTCCCAACATCACTTTGCATGTAGAAGGTCACCAGACGATAGGAGATGGGGCCAATGCTCCTAAGCCACCCTTAATCGATCATGGGCATCAGCGCCAAAGCCTGGGTAAGGTCACTCGAGAAACCTCAAGTTCGCGAGCAAGGGGCTTGACCCTCATCCTGGCTGGAGGCACCTTACTAAAATGATGAGGCACCCCGTTGCTCGAGTCATCTCGGGCCCAATGGGCCTTTCTTGTTATCCAACGGTGGAGAGGGGGAGGGGAGGGCGAGCGCATCCGCTACCTGTGAGCCCCTATCAGATTAGGAGAGTCAATCAAAGAGGTTAATCAAGCTATTATGATGCTAATCTAGGGATTAAGGTAACCCTGCTATTAGGTACTCAATAATCATGATTAGATTAGAATTGATTGTTATATAAGTCGTTCCAAACATAGCCTTAAGAAATATTCTCACAACATATTAGTGCAACCCTGAGGCTCCGTGGACGTTGCATCCATCTATGATTCTAGATTGCAACAATTTTTCTATTAGTCGTCACTTGGCCAGCGATGGATCCGCTAGTCTAGCGGTCTTCTAGCCAGGGACATGGTGCATGAATGCGGAGCCAAATACATCACAATTACCAAGCCTTTTGTACCAACAAAAAAGACCACAAATATCATGTGAGTGTCTACATCTTTTTTTTAGGCAATCAACGAGGAGGGGGGTTGAGGGACCTGTTGACATTTCTTAGCTTCACTCTTAACTAAGTTGTCATCCCTAGCATGATGCTAGAAATGTGTTGTTGGTAATTATGATAACACTTGTAAACTATATATAAGGTATCCACAAGCGCACAGATAATATACCATTATAACATTTTACCCGAGAGTATACCGAGTATCGTTATTTATATTTTATCCACAGGGAGGAGCTATGGGGTTGTGTTGGCATAGAGATATTGACAAATATGTATACTTATGATAAAACCACTCTCATGCTATGGCAGGGGTAAGTCAAGTGATAAATAAATGATAAGTGTAAGGTAATAATGGTATTCCAGAGATAGAAATAGATACTCATAAAATGTAGTAAGACTAAGCAGGAGATTTGTTAAGAGCAAAAGATTCCTAAGTCATTACTTATCTACTAAGTCTTTTGTATACCCGAGTATATACACTCTCATCTATAGTATAACTAACTTTGGATCTATGCATAAGGAACATTACTAAGGAAGATTAAGAACAGAGCTTGTCTTCCTTTCAGAATCACGTTCTCACGTGCTCTACAAACGGGGAGTAGACTACAAATGACTCAATGAGAGTGTCACATCCGTTATCTACCACATGACCCAGAGTGCAGAAGGCATCCGCATGCAAACAATATCTAAGCACCATGCTTACATAATGTTGACCACTTAACTCTCTCGAGAACTGAGCTAAGAGCTCTACGAACATATGCATATATTCATCATTAATCGTAACTATATCAAGCATTTTACTAGAGCAAACTAGGAACATAATATTGAAGTAGCACAAAGTCATAAATAAAGAGATACAATGGCAATACCAGTCTCCAGACAGCAGATCCAGAATCCTGAGCGATAGCCCAAACTCTACTTAAACCTTGCTAGCTAGCCTATACTAGAAACTTGAAGAATTGGAGCTATATTCTCTTCTCTCTAGAAACCCTAATTTCTGGTCTAGTCTTGACTTATGGCAGCGTGCTCTGGAGGGGGGTCAGGGGCTGGTTATATAGGCTTAGGGCGTCCAACGTGAGCCCTTGGATCAAACCGACTTAAAGGCCAGCGTAGATGCATCCTAGGGAGCCGGTGGGGAATCGACGTCTGAAGGAAGCTGATAGGTGGGTCCCCAGGGCAGTGCCTCTAGGTGGGGCCACTAGCCCCACCGGCAATGGCTTGGCCTCCGCTTGGTGTGGAGTCCTCTCGAGACTTCGGAACCTTCGGTGTCCGTTTCACCGTGGATAAACATGATTTTATTTGATGATTTGATCCTCCTTGATGGTTTTCTAAAATAACCCTACTAAAAATATAGATTCACCAAACCTAGTAGAAATTATTAGTTAAAACCCCTAAGTCTATGTTGGTGATCCTGTTTATGCATTTATTCATGTTATGTTGATGGTTTATGATGGATGGTAACTACCGTCAACAAACTCCCCCAAGCTTAATCTTTGCTCGTCCCTAAGCATTGCCAAACTTAGCA